GTACTTGTTGCCTATAACAAGGATAGCCCTGAAGGAACGTACATGTTTCCTATACAAGGACAAGCCTGGAGGAAGGTATTTATTCCCTATACAAGGACAAGCCAGGAGGAAACGTACTTGTTTCCCATACAAGGCCAGGCTTGGAGGAAGGTACTTGTTGCCTATAACAAGGATAGCCCTGAAGGAACGTACATGTTTCCTATACAAGGACAAGCCTGGAGGAAGGTATTTATTCCCTATACAAGGACAAGCCAGGAGGAAACGTACTTGTTTCCCATACAAGGACAGGCTTGGAGGAAGGTATTTATTTCCTATACAAGGACAAGCCCAGGAGGAAACGTACTTGTTTCCCATACAAGGACAAGCCTGGAGGAAGGTATTTATTTCCTATACAAGGACAAGCCTGGAGGAAGGTATTTATTTCCTATACAAGGACAAGCCTGGAGGAAGGTATTTATTTCCTATACAAGGACAAGCCTGGAGCAACGTACTTGTTTCCAAAAACAATGACAAACAAAAATATAGCACTTTAAAACTTGTATCGTTATGAAAGACAAACATTTTATTAATCGTATTTTGAGACAAGGTACTTGTGAGATATGCATAACGTTTTGAGAAAAAAATCATTCTCGTAAAATGATTGTCACATTTAATACAAACAATATCAGGGTATTGATGTGCTGTTAAAATCAACAGAGGAAGAGAACGTTAAGAAGTTATACTGTAATGGCTAGGCCTTACCAGTTATACTTAAACCAAATACATTTAATAAATTAATAATTTTATTTATTTAAATAATTTGTTTATTTTAATTTCAACTGAAGCATCTTTAAGTCACTTAATGGTAAACATAAATTAAAAAGCTCATTAGAGCAACGCTTCCCAAACGTTTAACATCCACGCCCCTCTTTAATACGTTTTTTTTTTTGCGCGCGTCCATCTATTTTTTAAATGAGTGAAAGAGTGAGTTATGTGACGAGATATAATACACAGATATGTATTAAAATGTTATATGTGCTGTAGTAATTACTTATTATTTGCATTAACAAAAATGTATTAAAACGCTTAATTTTGCACATTATTGCACTATTGATTCTACCCTAATTGCTCGCCCCCACGAAGAGACCTTTTGCGTCCCACATTTTAGGAAACGCTTCGTTAAAGGAAATTGTCTTGTATAACTAAAAACAAATGTTAATAGAAGTTAAATTAAATCTAAAAAGCATTGTCCAGAGTTTTAATGATGCACTCGCCTTTCTTATTTGTGTACCCAACGTTGATACTTCGGATGTAGAAACCCAATATCGTGCATAAAGAAATATAAAATGTAAACGCGAAGTATATACGATCAAAAAGTCATAGTCAGTTGAAGTACATGTAGACTCTTTTCAGTCGTTTTGTATGGCGCCCATTTTATCTACTCAATTTAGGTTTTGACATTACTGGACGAAGAAAGAAAAGTTATAAGTTAGTGTTGCACACATGTCAGTCACGGTTTAATTATGTTTCTGTAAAGTAATATTTTTTTTGAGATGCTAAGTAACTCATACAATTATGTAGTGATTATCGAAAAAATTGTACAATTACATTTTTTTGAATAAAAATTTCTTGCATGCAAACAGATTGCAAGAAAGTGAAATGTCGTTGGGAATTTTATAATTTTTTAATATATTTTAAACTATTCTCGCTAAACAAAAACGTCAGAGAAACCACGACATACACCAATCATTAAATATTCACGTTAGTAAACTCTTCACTGTCACTTATTAGGCCTAATTTTTAATACAAATTGACATTATAGATAACAAGCTTCGTTAACGTTTAAACTCTGAACAATTAAATTAATTTTTCATTATAATATTAGCCTTACATCATTCATTTCTTGGTGATATTGGTATACGTAAAGTAATAGTTCAAACTTTTTAAAATTGGATAAACGGATGCCATTGACTTCACTTTTCATTAGATATCATCACATTTATTACTTTTCATTATAAAAATATCATTACTAAGACAGTTCATGAATGTCTAATTTGATTTTACTTTCTACTACACATTGCACTTGCACTCTCAATATTTTATTTTAAAATGATCAGTAAAGTTATAGTACTGTATTTAAAGAATTAAAACTTATAAATATGTGAAAAATACACATCATCAGCATCACATATTTTAACATTTAATTTGTGTTATCAGTGTTTGATATAATCATTAACTGAAATTTTCCTACAGTTTAACGGACGCAAGAAATGTGTTTTAAAATCTAGAATATTAATTGAAATGAAACAAAAGTCAAACTGATCTATTGTTTTAACAGTTTCCTGCCTTTAATCAGCAATCTTGTGAGTACGCAAATACGGTAACTGATAAAGAAAACGTACCTTCAGTATGCACAATGTTTTGATACTGTAACTGACAGAGTATAATGGCCATTTCTTTGGGAGATGGTTGACCAGAAAATTTCTTACGTTCGTCCAGAGTTAGTTGTTCTGAGTCAAAAACGTCTACCCCACTGAAGTCGCCCAAAATCTGGACAGCAAGAGTTGAGAGTATAGTTTGATTTTCGAACATACTACCCATGTCTACTACGATAAGAGAAATATGTTTTAGTCTAACCAGTTTTTACTACTAAGCTAGAAGACTAAAGGTTTGATATCGTGATTGACTGTAAGCATTGATTCTGTCAGACCTTTTAGTGTCTGCAATACTGCAACTAATGTATAAACTTTCACCAACTTAGCTTGCCTTACACAAGTAACAAGCAGCGTTCACTGTCTACATAAGATACTTTCTTTACGCACCAATGACGTCACAGCTAACATAGCCAATCGATTGGAGCCTTTAAGATTGTCAAGTCTCTTTCTTCGATGTTCCCAAAATAGGAAAATGCAGAACACTTATTAGCTAAATCCACATGAGAATTAAATATCTGTCATTAAAAATTACATTTCCAAAAATCCAGAAAATGGACGCAGATTACAATGTATAGAGATTTTAAAAGACGTTTGATAAAAAGTCTTTATATAGTTAAACCGAAAAATAAAATAAAATAGAAGAGTGGTTATTATACGTAGTTTAAAAGAAGACAATATATTTAGAATATCAAAAAGTAAAATTGCCAAGCTTGTTGTGGTGTCTCATGCTCAGCAAAATGTACATGGAGCAAATGTTAAATGTTTTCCATTTAATATTTTAAATATCGAATGTTGCAATGATCACAAAAATCCCCTTTTTTATGTTTTTGTTTTTATTTATCTGCCACTACTTCCGGATATTTCTAAATAGGATTCTCATTAGTAAAATTAAGTGCACAGGAATGACGATAATTTAAAACCTTCACGTAATCATGAGGTTCAAACGAGAAGGCCTCCCAGTGGCACAGCGGTATGTCTGCGGACTTACAACGCTAGAATCCGGGCTTCGATACCCGTGGTGGGCAGAACACAGATAGCCCTTGGGTAGTTTTTTGCTTAATAACAAACAAACAAACTAGAAGGTGAAACACATAAGTTGTTGTTGTTTGTTATTAAGCACAAAGCTACACAAAGGGCTATCTGTGCTCTGTCCACCAGTATAAGTCTAGCAGTATAAGTCCGCAGATATGCCACAGGGGGGCAAAACACATAAGAATACAAGGTCATTGTCATAAAAGATCATCCAGTGTTAATATTAAAATATTCTACTGCTTTATCGGGCCTTTAAGTCTAGCATGACATTTAAACAGTACTCAACAAAAACAGAGCATGTCATAATATATCCTCATATGTCAGTTGCTGGATATGAGCCCTATCAAAAATCTAGCCTTCAAAATTTTCTGCGAGAGTGTACCAAACAAACAACTTGTATGGACACCATTATCTAAGTCCTGCAAGAGTGTACCAAACAAACAACTTGTATGGATACCATTATCCAAGTCCTGCAAGAGTGTACCAAACAAACAACTTGTATGGATACCATTATCCAAGTCCTGCAAGAGTGTACCAAACAAACAACTTGTATGGACATCATTATCCAAGTCCTGCGAGAGTGTATTAAACAAACAACTTGTAGTAACACCATTATCCAAGTCCTGCGAGAGTGCACTAAACAAACAACTTGTAGGAACACCATTATCCAAGTCCGGCGAGAGTGTACCAAACAAACAACTTGTATGGACACCATTATCCAAGTCCTGCGAGAGTGTACTAAACAAACAACTTGTATGGACACCATTACCCAAGTCCTGCAAGAGTGTACCAAACAAACAACTTGTAGGAACACCATTATCCAAGTCCTGCGAGAGTGTACTAAACAAAGAACTTGTAGGAACACCATTATCCAAGTCCAGCGAGAGTGTACAAAACAAACAACATGTAGGGACACCATTATCCAAGTCCAGCGAGAGTGTACCAAACAAACAACTTGTAGGGACACCATTATCCAAGTCCGGCGAGAGTGTACAAAACAAACAACTTGTAGGGACACCATTATCCAAGTCCTGCGAGAGTGTACTAAACAAACAACTTGTAGGGACACCATTATCCAAGTCCATCGAGAGTTTACCAAACAAACAACTTGTAGGGACACCATTATCCAAGTCCGCGAGAGTGTACCAAACAAACAACTTGTAGGGTTATAGGGTATCGTATCTTGCTGTTAAATTGATTTTATGAATCTACATGTTTTTCTAACATTATGAAAGCATTTACATATATGTATATTTATATATTAATATTATTTTCTAACACAGACGTGAGATTTATTAAAATAAAAGTACAATATCAAGAACGTTTTATCTTAGTTCATGAGACTCTTCAGAAGAGAGGTAGGTTGCATACATATGAAGAAACTATTTTTTAAACATATATTAATTTTTTAAAAAGGTTATACTGCTACGAACTAGTATAAATACTCTAAAATCCTAACTATACTTTACAGAATTATAGAAAAATTTAGAGGTATTTTATATGCAATAACAACATTTATATTCTCCAGAGAGCTTTGAACGTTACTCAGCAGTAGCAAAAGTATTAATTGGAACTGATTTTGGGCTGGTGTTATGTTAAAGTTACATCTTATTAATTTAACTTGATTAATAAATGGAAATGTGAAATCGTCATTTGAATATTTAAATTATTCCAGTTATATAAAATAGTATATTCACTGTTCACCTTAGCAACATTGCGAAATATTAGGAATATTTCAGAGCCAAAGCTATAAAAGTATCTTCGTAATTCACTACAGAGTTACGTGTTGAAATACGATGGTTAGTATTACTAGAACGTAGAATAATTTGTGATGTTACATTCAGAGATCTTTTTGCTCATATTTTTATACCTTTATTTTGTATTTTAATTATGTCAGATGTCGCTGAAACATGATGTAATGTTGCCCTTCACAACAAGAACCTGAAAACACTAAAAATAAATACGAAGCCCAATCTATCATTCGAATCACCATTTATCATTGAGTTATACCGGTTCCTGGGAATTCCACTTATCATCAGTAACCAGGAAGAAGAGCAACTCGAAAAAACAAAACTAGGCTTCCCATAATGGTGAAGTGTATATTATATTATATGAAAGTGACCAGTAGTGATTCGAATGAAAGATTGGACTCATATTTATTTCCAATTTTTTATATAGCTTCACTGTTGAATAATTCAGAAGTATAAACTGGTTACGTAAGTTCTACATTTTCTTCAAATCTTATGTAAAAATGGGTTCACGGTGGTAAATAAAAGAAAACTAAAAATGCCATTCAAATAAGAAACTGAAAGGCCACCAGAAAGAATATTGCATGATTTTGAAAAGCAAAAAAATTAAAAATAAATGAACTACTTGTTTCGTAAAGTCAAAACATTCAAATAAAAGCTTCGGTTTGTTCAATACTGATATTATTTACGAAATGAAGATTAGATCAGATATGCTGCATTGATAGTGAAACTGATAATATAAATTGTGTCTAGTCCAACACTACGCTGCCTGTCGTATCCCAGTCGGCCTGACAAGCTCTAGTATTAGCCAAAAGGCCTTATTGGCACTGGATATGACAGATATAGTGTGTTTGACACATCATAAAGTATCCATTCGTCTTCGCTTTTACTCAAGTTTTCAATGTACGTTTCGTTTCTAATAACATTATGGTAAAGTGAGCTATGAAAAGGATATCCAGGATATCATTGAATCAGAATTTAACGTAAAGATGTTGAAATTGTCTAGTTTAACCAAAATTAAACGTAAAGATGTTGAAATTGTCTAGTTTATCCAAAATTAAACGTAAAGATGTTGAAATCGTCTAGTTTATCCAAAATTAAACGTAAAGATGTTGAAATTGTCTAGTTTATCCAAAATTAAACGTAAAGCTGTTGAAATTGTCTAGTTTATCCAAAATTGTACGTAAAGATGTTGAAATTGTCTAATTTATCCAAAATTAAACGTAAAGATGTTGAAATTGTCTAGTTTATCCAAAATTATACGCAAAGATGTTGAAATTGTCTAGTTTATCCAAAATTAAACGTAAAGATGTTGAAATCGTCTAGTTTATCCAAAATTATACGTAAAGATGTTGAAATTGTCTAGTTTATCCAATAAATCGCACATTAAAAACAATTTATAATCGAATTTGTCTGTGCATTTTAATATTGCTTTTGTGGGTGTTTAAAGAAGTTGTACTTGTAAAATATGAAGCCATCAGACTGATCTGCATTTAACACGTTTCTCAGGAGCCAAGGGGCGTCTCCACAGTACAAGTTGTTGAATATTGAAAGTAAGTTCAATCCGGAACTACCAAAGAGAATGGTTTTAGACTTATATTTTCGAGACAAGTTTTCGTTTGTTAATTGATAAATATTTAAGTGAAATACAACATCCTCAAGTCTCCATACTAGCTAGTACTATGGTCTACCTGCTGAGAGTAAATTCAGTATATATCAATAAAGCCACATTCTCAGCATCATTAATTAAGCAATTGCCAACCTTTTATGTTTCTGATATCAACTCTTCATGTTTAGATTTCCACTGAGATACGAACGATTTCACCTGGGATTAGATAGGGAAGGTCAAAGCATCACGATAGTCAGCAGTAGGATTAGCAGACAAGAATACTTCAATAGCAGCTAAGACATAATTTTGTACTCGGCTTGCTGCACAATACTTACCAAGGTGGTTCTAAACGGTACGTCGAGTTGATCAGATGTTTTCAATAAGTTAACGATATACTTCTAGCTTGAAGATCAAAAATATGGTTTCAGGTTTTAATAGTTTATAAAATTGACATTACCTGAAACGACATGATCATATCTCGAATTTTTGAAAGAAGTATCTTACAAATGTTTTAAATAAACAACGGGAAATTGGTTTTCTTCTTTATCTCGTAATTTTCTTAAATGAGATATTGTTTTTTTTTATATCTCGATTATAGTTTTAGGAACGTATTTTTATATTAGTTTAATTTACAAACTTAGATCATTGAATCGAGCAGAAGGAAAATACTGCATTAGAAGCTTGAAAGATTATTTATTAATTAGTATTTTTATCTGGTTGATTTAGATCTCTTGATACTCAAAAAACAGGTAAAAAAAGATTAGGATTACAGTACACAATACAAGAAATCCGGTAACTAGAACACTCAGTTTTTCTTTGAGTGTGTTGCATCTGTTGAAACTGATTTTTAAATCTTACAACAAAATAAAGATCTGATAATTAAAACGTTAAAGTAGAAATATGTTTATTTATATCACTAAAATAATATACGAGAGTCATTATA